GGGGGAGAGGAGAGACAGGGAGGCAGCGGGGGGAGAGAGGAGAGACAGGGAGGCAGCGGGGGGAGAGGAGAGACAGGGAGGCAGCGGGGGGAGAGAGGAAAGACAGGGAGGCAGTGGGGGGGAGAGGAGAGACAGGGAGGCAGCGGGGGGAGAGGAGAGACAGGGAGGCGGGGGGCGGAGAGGAGAGACAGGGAGGCAGCGGGGGGAGAGGAGAGACATGGAGGCAGCGGGGGGAGAGGAGAGACAGGGAGGCAGCTGCCAGGGAAGACCAAAGGGAATAAATTTCTGGGGGCAGGGCATGTATGGGAATGGGGGGTGGGCAATGGTAAGATATGTACACATATAATACCTTAATTAAAAAAAAGAAAAAAAGGGGGGAATAGAAGTTTGCTCCTGACAAAAGAAGAGTGATCTCAGCTTTCCTCTGGAATAGTGGTTTTTAACCGGGTGTTGCAGCGCACTGGTGTGCCGTACGAGTTGTTAGAACAATCTGTCCCTGGCTCTGTAGTCAGGGCACTGAGCTCTCCACCCTCGACGGCTGCGATGCGGCAGGTGTGGAAAGGGCCCGTCCCTGCCTCCCAGGCAGGGTAGGACCTGAGTCCCTGTGGAAAGAGGGGAGGATGCCGTCTCCTCTGGGCCTCCCGCCCTCTGTGGACCCGGCCACCAGCTGCTGTCACTCTTCACCATGTCCATTAGCCCTTTCCACCCAAGTTCTACTTTGAACTTGAAACCGGCAATAAATGTCCTCCTGCCTGCGTCTAGGAAAGGACCAGCTGCTCCTGTGAGGTGTGAGTCTGTCGCTGCCTTGGGGGGGTTGCTGAGACCACTGCTGCTCCTCCGTGCAGGAACCTGGAGGGAGCAGGGCCCCGGAGCCTCAGAGCCGGGAGGGTGGGGCCAGGCCTGAAAGCTTGCATACTCACAGCAGCTCCTCCAGGAGAGATGGGGGCCATAGACTGTCAGTGCTGGCCGGGTCTCTGGCTATTCTGACCCAGTTCTTAGTTGTCCCGTGGGGAAACTGAGGCCCAGATAAGAGAAGGGGCTTGGCCAGGCCTAGCCAGTGTGTTACAATGGCCCCCTGGAGGGAAGGGGACTCTGTAAGGGTTTTGTTTTTTAAATTATGTTTTGTTTTGTTTGTTTGTTTATTTTATAGTGAGTTTTAAAAAACATTTATTGGGGGCCTCTGCTCTGGGTGCGAGGAACCCGGTGCCCAGGTCCAGGGCCTCTGGGAAAAAAAATTTATTGGGGAACATTCATAAAACCATACAGATTTCAAGTGTACAACTCAACAAAACATCACCTGCAGTCTGCATTGTGCGCCATCGCCCCAGCAGTCTCTATCTGTCCCTTCTCTCCCTTTGCCACCTCCTCCTCCTCACCCCCTTTCCTCTGGCTATCACCACCCTGCTGTCTGTCTGTCTGTCTGTATATATACATAATCCCTTCACCTTTTATCCAGCCCTCTGAGCCCCCTCCCCCTCTGACAGCTGTCAGTCTTCCATGCATCCATGCTTCTGTTTCTATTTTGTTCGCCGTTTTATTTTGTCCATTAGGTTCCACATAAAAGTGAGACCACGGGACACTTGTCTTCCCTAAGGGCTGGCTTATTTCCCTTAGCACAATGCCCTCCAGGCCCCTCTGTGCTGTTGCAAAAGGTGAGCGTTGCTTCTTTTTCGCCCTGGAAGGGTTTTCCCTGCCTCCCCACCGTCAGGCTGCTGGACACTCCCCAGGGTGAGAGGGGGATGTGACGAGGGTTTGCCACAGAGGGAAGACGGAGCGAAATGCCGGAGTGTGGTTGCCACAGGCTTTGACCTGGATTTTAGCAGCTGTTGAAACAACTGGTCCCCGGGCCTGTGGCCCCTGGAAGGGGCGGGCGGGGAAGAAATATTACCTGGGGGTCGGCCTGGGCCGGGACAGCTGAGGAGGAAGACAGCTGAGGAGGCAGCCTTTTGCCAAGAATAGCTGGGTTCCCTCCGACCTGGGACTCTCTGTAAGCCGCGGGCAGGTGGAGAAGGCTCTCACCTGCACCACCACCGCTCTGTTCAGTCAACGGCATCACGCAGGCCCTTGGCCCGGGGAAGGGTTGTAGAAATGGGTACAGAGACGGACTGACACCCGCCAGGCGTGCGTGCCCTGCCGGGGCGTTATCGTGAGGGAGGGCTCTGGGCCAGACCCGCTGGGCCCAACTCCTGCCTGGGCAACATTGGGCAAGTCCCATAACCTCTGTTCCCTCGTCTGCAAGAGAAGAATGCAATATATAGCCGAAACCAGTTTGGCTCAGTGGATAGAGCGTCGGCCTGTAGACTGAAAGGTCCCGGGTTCGATTCCGGTCAAGGGCATGTACCTTGGTTGTGGGCACATCCCCAGTAGGGGGTGTGCAAGAGGCAGCTGATCGATGATTCTCTCTCTTTCTAACTCTCCATCCCTCTCTCTTCCTCTCTGTAAAAAATCAATAAAAATAAAAGAATGCAATGTATGAAAAGTGCTCAGTCTATTGGGGCATCCACTAGGCACTTCATAAATGCTAGTTGCTGTTTTAATGATGATAACATTGACACCTCATTGCTGATGCCCCCCCCCCCGGCTGTTTGGGCAGTGTTAGGAGGGGGCTGAGGACTTCTTCCCTTCTGCCTGCTTTTCAGGGCAGCCTTGCCTCAGGGAGGTGCCTGTCTGACCCCGTGAGGAAGACAGCCATGCTGCTGGGTCCTAGGTCCCAGCAGAAGTTCTTTGTGGAACAGGATGGTCCTAAATCCTAAATCAAGATCAGCCCATGCACAAGGAACCAGCAGGATGGGTTTATGTCAATGTCAGGGACTCGGACCCCCCCCCCCCCCTTTATTTTACTCAGGGGTGGAGCCACTCGCCCAGGATCACCAGAACCTGCCTGGAAGCCCTTCCTCTGCCTCCTGGCCCTTTTGTGGTTTTTAATTTTTTTTCCTGCCCCTTAGTTTTTGTATAAGTCATTCTCATGAAAATAACAAAAGTCAGCCCTGGTGGGCACATGTATGGACCAGGCAGGCACTGTCCCGGTCGTCACTCCACCGCCCAGAAGAGAGGTACGGGGGAGGGACACGGTGGGGCGGGAAGCTGCTCCCTCGGCCACTGTGACCTCCGCCCCGGATCTCGGGGGTGGGAGAGAGCCTTGGGCCCCAAACCAGGGTCCCACTCGGGGGTCTCGTCTGCACGAGAAATGGAAGGGGACACCCTTACATACGAAGAAGTAAGAGATGGGATTATTACCTGATTGTAGGGAACCGTAGGGTTTAGCCAGATTCTGGGAAATAGGTCTCTTCAGAGGCGTCCAGGATTTGGGGTGATGGCAGTCTGGGGCTGGGCCTTGTGTGTACGTTTTTTAGATGATCTGAAAGTGCCCCACACCAAGAGCCAGAGGCCTTTGGCCAGGGCTTGGCTCTGTTGCCTGCTGCTCGGGAGCTTAGACGAAGCCCCTGCTACTTTGAGCCCGTGTCCGCAGCTGTGACACTGGGACGACAGAACCACTTCGCAGGGTTCGCCGTGCGGGCCAGCTGAGCTGCTGCACGGCAGCCTCTGCGCACAGAGCGTCCATAGTGGGTCCGATGACTCGGATGTTAATCAAATCCGGCATTAAAGCTCGATCTCCCGGAGCCTAGCGCATAGGTGAGAGGGGTCCCTTCCCACCTGGTTAGGACCCCTCCTGGCTGCTGGGGCCTGGGTGGCCACCGATTTCCCATCGCCGCTGCCAGTGCCCGGCGGGAGAGCCTGCTTGTGGCCTTGTGTGTGGGGGCTGCCTTGGAATTGTGTGGCCTCCTCGTCCCGGAAGCTCTGTCCTTCAGGGTTGGCTTCCAGCCCCACGGCAGCATCCAGCCAGGTGGAGGCCCAGGGCTCCTTGGCCTTGGATGAGGGAGGACTCAGGTTGGAGCCGCTGCCCTGTGCCCCTCCACCGGCTGGAAAGAGGCAGAAACACCTTCTCGCCCCTGTCTCCGTCTGTGTTCACAAGCCATCGCCTCGGGACGAGCTCTCCTGTGCTCAATGCGTGGTCCGGCGGAGGGAGGGTGGCCAGGCGGAGGGAGGGCGGTCCAGCGGAGGGAGGGCGGTGGAGGGAGGGCGGTCCCGCGGAGGGAGGGCGGTCCAGCGGAGGGAGGGCGGTCCAGCGGAGGGAGGGCGGTCCGGCGGAGGGAGGGCGGTCAGGGAAGGTGGCCCGGCGGGAGGGCAGGGCGGCCCGGCGGGAGGGCAGGGCGGCCCGGTGGAGGGAGGGCTGTCAGGCAAGGTGGCCTGGCGGGAGGGAGGGCGGCCCGGCGGAGGGAGGGCGGCCCGGCGGAGGGAAGGCGGCCCGGCGGAGGGCAGGGCGGCCCGGCGGAGGGAGGGCGGCCCGGCGGGAGGGAGGGGCAGCCTCCAGGCCTTGAGGTGCAAAGAGGAAGGCTTTCGGAGCTCTCACCTTCCCAGGAGCCACACACACACAGAGCTCTGCTCCGTCCGTTCCTGAGTGACCTTGAGCAAGTTGCTTCCCTTCCCTCTCTGCTGGGAGGTAGGCCCCCTCCCAGTCTGAGTCCCATCTCTGCTGTGTGACCTTGGGCAAGGCCTTTGCCTCTCAGCCTCAAGGTCCTCCTTCCTGTGAGAGGACTGGATTAGGGGGACCCAGGTCAGGCCAGAGAACCCCATGTTCAGTCCTAGGAATGAGGTTACACGCTTGCTCCCTCCTCCTGCCCTCCCGCCCTCCTGCCTCCCACTTGTTCTGGTCGGCACAGCCCTGAGGCTCAGACTTGGGAAGGAGGAGGAGAGAGGGGAGGTGTAGGGGTGGAGTAAGACATTTTTCCTGGCTCCTTTTGCCCCCAAATGTCTGTGGCTATGGCCAGCTGTCAAGGAATAGCCTTTTGCTGGGGCACAGAGTCCGTGAAGAATGAGTGAGACCTGCCCAAGCCCTCACTGCCAACCGCACCTGCCTCAGTTTCCCCATCAGATAACTCACACTGGCCCCTTCCAGCTTTCACTCAGCCCTAACCGCTGCCTCTCTCCTCCCTCCCCAGGCTCCCCCCTGCACAAGCAGGCCTCGGGACCCTCTGCGGCCGCGCCCGCCGCCCCCGAGAAGCCCGGCCCCAAGGCCGCCGAGGTGGGCGATGACTTCCTGGGGGACTTCGAGGTGGGCGAGCGGGTGTGGGTGAACGGCGTGAAGCCGGGCGTGGTGCAGTACCTGGGCGAGACGCAGTTCGCGCCCGGCCAGTGGGCCGGCGTGGTGCTGGACGAGCCCGTGGGCAAGAACGACGGCGCCGTGGGCGGCGTGCGCTACTTCGAGTGCCCGGCGCTGCAGGGCATCTTCACGCGGCCCTCCAAGCTCACCCGGCAGCCCGCGGCCGAGGGCTCGGGCAGCGACACCCACTCGGTGGAGTCGCTGACGGCGCAGAACCTGTCCCTGCACTCGGGCACGGCCACGCCGCCGCTGACCAGCCGCGTCATCCCGCTGCGGGAGAGCGTCCTCAACAGCTCCGTCAAGACCGGCAACGAGTCCGGCTCCAACCTCTCCGACAGCGGCTCCGTGAAGCGGGGCGACAAGGACCTGCGCCTGGGAGACCGCGTGCTGGTGAGTCCCTCCCCCTCCCCACCCCCCCCCCCACCCCCCCCCATCCCCGTACCCCCGCTGCTGCACCCCGCCGGCGAGCTGGAACAAGGGGGCGGGCAGGGAGTGGACTCAAGAGGCGTGGGTGAGCCAAAACCGGTTTGGCTCAGTGGATAGAGCGTTGGCCTGCGGACTGAAAGGTCCCAGGTTCGATTCCGGTCAAGGGCATGTACCTTGGTTGTGGGCACATCCCCAGTAAGGGGTGTGCAGGAGGCAGCTGATTGATGTTTCTCTCACATCAATGTTTCTAACTTTCTATCCCTCTCTCTTCCTCTCTGCAAAAAATCAATGAAATATATTTTTGTAAAAAAGAGGCTTGGGTGGGGTCCCGGCTGGGTCACCCCCTCCTTGTAGAACCACACAGAGGGACCGGGGAGACGGGTTAATGGGCTCTGCAGACGGTCGCAGGTGTCCTCACCTTTCTGGGCCTCGGTCTTCCCATCTATAAAATGGGAATTTTAATAATACCTTTCTCATAAGTTGAAATGCATTGATATGTGGGGGCACTTACTAAGTATAGGCACCATCTAATGCCTTTAGAATTTAGGGGTGTCGAACTCAATCAGAGAAGGGGCCAAAATCTAAAATCCAGCCTAAATCGCGGGCCGAATGGTTTACTGAACAGTCATAAACTGTCATTGTGATGGAAACGCAGCGGAGTGCAGTGATGACAGCGTGGTGCGGGCCACATTGCAAGGCCTGGCGGGATGGATTTGGCCCGCGGGCCTTGTGTTTGACACATGTGCAGATGGTGCCTATACTTAGTAAGTGCCCCCATTACGTTAGCTATGATTGGTGCTATCCTTTGATCTGGGCCACCACCATGGATGTGCCAGGCCTATGCTGAAATGGCCATGGACTGGAGTGCTCAAGGTCCCTGGCCCAGGGGCGGGTGGTTGGCTCAGACATCTAAGAGTAATCACTGCTGCTGTGGAGGAGAGAAGTGGGTCACAAGAGCCAAGGGGCTCTCTAGGCAAGTCTGCCTGCCGGGTCCCTCTTCTCCGGCACTCCCAGCAGCTGGGGCAGGGGGAAGAGGGGCGTGGCCCTCAGGTCCTTCAGAGTCTGGCTTCATCCTTCCGTAGTGTGACTGTGGGAGTGTTTTCCCGGCACCTGCTGTGAGCCAGACCTGGGCTGGGGGTGGCAAGGTACACAGGATTGGGCCACGGCCTGCTGTGCCAAACCCAGGGCCCAGGCGGCTCCGGGCTGACCCTGTCCTTTGAGAACCATGGCTTTGGGCAGGTGGGAATCACACCGGGCGAGGAGGCCGGCTCAGCGCCTTCTGCTTCTCCCAAGCAAACGGCATCTGGTCCAACCTCAGGTGTCGCTGCCGTGTCACCATCCAGAGGACTTCCCAGAGTCCCAAACCCAGGCTTCCCGTCGCCTGGATACGGAAACAGGAAGCGCTTCATAACTGCTTTTCCAAACGCTAAAGCCACGTATTTTTAACATCCTACAACTTGCTAATATAGTGTGGCTTTCTTTTACCAGCCCCAAAATATCAAACTTTTTATATGAATGTAGCAATGAAGAAGAGATAATTCCTAAAAAAAAATTACCCAAAGGGTGTCGGGCAGGCCTGGGGTCTGAGGAGTCCAGGACAGGTCTCAGCTGGTGGAGGGAGCGGTTCCTGTGCTCAGGCAGGTGGGGCAGAGTGGAGGGGTTTCCCACCCCAAGGTGGGGAGCACATGCTCGGAGCCCTAAGGCTGAGCGGGGAAGGGTTTGGCAGACCCTGGAGTCCCAATGTGGGGATCCCAACAAGTTATCACTGCCTAGGATCCTCCCTCCCCACTCCAGACCTCACACAGGGCCATGGTTTCTCCTGGAGGCTTCTGGGAAGAGCATTTGGGTAGGAATGAGAGGAAATGCTTATACCCATTGCCCCACTGAAACCTCAAGCCTTCATCAGACCTGGCAGCAGTAGCAGCAGATGCCCCACTGACTCCCTGGCCCACGAGGGCTGAGTCCTCACTTTGAGACACTGCTTGCTTGGGGGTGTACCCCATGCTGGGCACCTGCTAGCACTTCCTTTTTCTTTTCTTTCCTTTCTTCTTCCTTTTTTAAATATATTTTATTGATTTTTTACAGAGAGGAAGGGAGAGAGATAGAGAGCTAGAAATGTCTATGAGAGAGAAATATCGACCAGCTGCCTCTTACACAACCCCTACCGGGGATGTGCCCGCAACCAACGTATATGCCCTTGACCGGAATTGAACCTGGGACCCTTCAGTCCACAGACCGAAGCTCTACCACTGAGCCAAACCGGTTTCGGCATGCTAGCACTTTCTGTACATTGCCCCTGTGGGTCTTCCCCTCTACTGACGAGGTAGGGGTTATTCTCCCCCTCCCCCCCAGTTTTATAGATGAGGAAACTGGGCTCAGCCTGGGAAACAGCCTCTCCAGGACCCACAGCCAGGAGTTGATGGTTCCGTTCATCCCTTTATTCACTCACCAGCTGTGCCTGTCTGGAGGCCCTTGGGTTCTGGGTGGGGGAGAGGAATCTGAACGAGGGGGTTGTTTCTACCACAAGGATCGGGCCTCACCTGCCCCCCACCCCATCCTCGCCTGCAGCTTTCCTTGGCTTAGTCTTCCTGGCTGGTGCAGCACTGCCAGGACCCAGCTGGCTTGCTAACCCTGGACCTCGCTTTTCTCCCCTGACCTGCTGTGAACACCTGACACCTCTCCTTCCAGCCCCTATCCCACCCTTAAAGAATGATATCCTGGACAGGGTGACTGTAGAGGCCCGAACCTATACAATTTGAGGACGAGGGACTCTAGGAAAAACGATAGGAGGAAATACTGCTTTTGCAAATTTTATAAATCATGTGATTCCCATGAAAGCACAAGTCCGCTTCTGACCTGAGTCAAAGGCGTGAGCTGTGCTCATTATTTATGAACGTTAAGTAATGGTATTTATGCTTATTAAATTGTGCTGCCCTTTAAAGATACCCCTGGGTCCAGGTTTCATTTGAGCCTCAACACTACCCCATAAGGTATAAGTACTAGATAAGTAATCATGGGCAAGTTATTTATCCTCTCTGCCTCAGTTTCTTTGACTGCAAAATGGGGATAATAGTTTATCTGTCTTGCATGGCTCTGTGTAACCTCTGTGAAGTGCTAGCTTTTGTCAACATTAAAGTCCGTGTTGGGCCTGTCCAGTGTGGCTCAGTGGCTTAGTGTCAACCCATGAACCAGGAAGTCACGGTTCGATTCCTGATCAGGGCACATGCTCTGATTTGTGTCCCTCTTCCTGCCAGCCCCTGGCAGCCGCCATTTGAAACACTCATTTTAAGGGTAAAATGTATTGAGACTCTAGCTGCTAGAGTCTAGCACATACTCACACATAGCACTCGGCCCTCACAAAACCCCTTTTCATAGAGGAAGATGCTGATGCTCAGAGGTTGGGTAACTTGCTCAGGCTCACACTGCAGCGTTCGAATGCAGGTCTGTCCGTCCGTGTCTACACTCTCGCCCAGGGCAGCCCTGAGAAGACCTGGTTACACCTGTGTCCTTCCTCACCCCGGCTCTCCTCTCTCCTGCACGTTGGGAAGGAGGGGTGGGGTGTGAGCCTGGCTCCTGGGTCCCTGCACCAGGTGCCCGCTGTGTGCTCTAACCCTGTGTCTCTCCGTGTGCCCACAGGTTGGCGGGACAAAGACTGGCGTGGTGCGGTATGTGGGGGAGACGGACTTCGCCAAGGGCGAGTGGTGTGGTGTGGAGCTGGACGAGCCCCTCGGGAAGAACGATGGGGCGGTGGCGGGCACCAGGTACGGCGGGCTTCCCCCGGGCGTGCGCGAGGGGGCTGGTCTTTGCCAGGGGTGGGTGCTGTGGACAAGGATGGGGCGTCTGAGGAAGCCAGCGTTGAGTGTGTGGGTGGCTGTGCCAGACACCACAGTGTAGACGCCGCCTCCGTCCTCCTGTCACAGAAGTGTGCGGGGCAGATGGTGGGGCTGTCATCCCCATTTTACAGATGAGAGGACGGAGGCCAGAGAGGTCATTGCTCAAGGTCACACAGAGTCAGGGGCAAACGCTAGGAGAAGCAGTGGTCCCTGCCTCCCTGGGTTTCTCTGGGCAACACCGGAAACCGGACAGTGAGCTCTGCAGTCAAGGGTGCGGTCACAACTGGTCTGGGCTCCATGCCATTCCCAATTAAAGGGAATTTCCTGTGGGGAATGCTGGGTCAGGAGGGTCTAAGACTGTGTCTCAGTCATTGGGGACGGGGTTGGGTGATACAGTGGGTGAGCAGGGTCAGGGATGTGGGGCTGGGGCTAATGGCCTCGGCCCTGCACTGGCTGTGCCTGGTTTAGCTCCTGAGGCCCAGATGAGTCTGTGGCAGCTCGGAGAAGGAAGGTGTGCTAGGCTTGGGGACAGCTGAGCAAAGACCTTAATGTAGGAAGAGGAGGGGTGGGGTGGTTGTTTCAAAGTAAGTCAGAAACCGAACAGAACTAGCTCGCCTGGTCCGGTGTAGAACCCTTGACCGGAGAGATTCCAAGAGAGCAATCAGAGTTTCTGTAACAATACTCTGCCTTCCTGTTTTCAAGACCGATATTTCTCTCAACTTACTCCTGCTTTCTGACCTCAGGGGGCTGGGTGGGTGGCAGCCCCTCCCCCAACACACACACAGTATCTCCCTCACACTTTTGCTTCTTCATTTATGGCAGAGAGCTGATGGGGTTCTGAGGGACTGGGGTGGACCAGGGGCAGCCATGAGAGTGGGGCTGCAGAGACGCCTGGTGGCCTCTGAGTGGTGTGTGGGAGCCAAGCATAGTCCACTTTGGAGCCCAACAGGCTAGGGTTCCAGGCCCAGCATTGCCTCTTGACCAGCTGTGTGACTGTGAGCAAGTTACTTAACCTCTCTGAACCCAAGTCTTTTTACCGGTGACATGTAGACAACAGCAGAGTGGTCGGGGGCTTAAAAAGAGCATCAAGAAAAGGGCCTGGGGCAGAGCATGTGCTCAGTAATTGTTATTTGCCTGCCTCCCCCCAGATGTGCCCAACAGCTGTTCCCAAACCCTCATACATACACTAGACACCCCTCCCCAGCTCCAGCTGTTCACAGCTGCAAAGAATCTCAGGCCCTACTCACTCTGATCCCTTTCTGGGAGACTCTTCTATGGCTCTTGGAATGTGGGTGTTTGGACCCCAAGGAGGAGCCTCTTTGCTGGGTTCTGAGGAGGAGGGGGAGGCAGGTGAAGCTCCCGGATATACAGCCATGATGCCCGCATGGGTCCCACTTGCTTCCCCAGGTACTTCCAGTGCCCACCCAAGTTCGGCCTCTTCGCGCCCATCCACAAGGTGATCCGCATCGGCTTCCCGTCCACCAGCCCCGCCAAAGCCAAGAAGACCAAGCGCATGGCCATGGGTGTCTCGGCGCTGACCCACAGCCCCAGCAGCTCCTCCATCAGCTCCGTCAGCTCCGTGGCTTCCTCCGTGGGCGGCCGGCCCAGCCGCAGCGGCCTGGTGAGGGCGGGGCTGGGCAGGGGGGTCCTGTGTGCGTATGGGGATTGAGGACAGAGGGATCCGGGTGCCCCTGACCTGCACTAGCGCCAGGCATCCTCCGATGGGAGCTTTTGAGGAAAGATGAAAGCGCCTATCTTTCAACAAGGGAAATGGATCCACTTACACGATTGTCATTTTTGCATTCCTGATTTGTCAGGAGCCTGAGCCTTTCCTGGGAGTTGAGGGTCATACAGATGCAGGGCAGGCCATACAGGTGCAGGTTTCAGAAAGGTCGCCACAGGCGTCCTGGAGGAGGGGAAAGGCGAGGCTGTCCGTCCGGGCAGCGAGCTGCTGTCCAAGCTCAGTCTAGGATGAAAGGTTCCTCCTGACCCAGGAGAGGGTGACCCCGGCGAGGGAGCCTACATGAGGCAGAGCCCCAGCTGTGAGGGGGCCGTTTCCTGAATCTGAAATCATACGCTTCCCCCCACCGCACAAGTAGACGGGGCCACTAGCAGGGGAGGAGCAGGACCCTGGGAGTCCGGGAGCTGCGGGCTATCTGGGCGGCGCTCAGATCCCTGAGTCCTGCCTGCACCCATGCCCTCCTGCAGCTCACGGAGACCTCGTCACGCTACGCCCGCAAGATCTCTGGCACGACTGCCTTGCAAGAGGCACTGAAGGAGAAGCAGCAGCACATCGAGCAGCTGCTGGCTGAGCGGGACCTGGAGCGGGCGGAGGTGGCCAAGGCCACGAGCCACATCTGCGAGGTGGAGAAGGAGATCGCCCTGCTCAAGGCTCAGCACGAGCAGGTGGGTGAGCAGGCGGGGCAGTGGGCACCCTGAGGGGCGCCAGCAGCCTCCCCAGGCCAGGCCCATAGGTCACTCACACCCAGAGTGCAGACGATGGAGGCTCAGAGACGCCTCCTCCGACTGGCGGAAGTCCTTCCGTGGATAGATAGGTTCACACATTCTCAGGAGCTGGATGTAGTCCGGTCGGTGTGTCTCAGGAGTTGAGTATGGAGTTCTGAGAGGTGACAGTTCGATTTTCCGTCAGGGCACATGCCTGGGTTGTGGGCTTGATCCCCAGCAGCGGTTGTACAGGAGGCAGCTGATCAGTGTTGATCTTTCTCTCTCATTGATGTTTCTATCTCTTCCTTCCTCCCTCTCTAAAAATAAATAAGGACATCTTTTAAAAAAGCAAGTTAGGAAAAAAGAACCTGGAAACAAACTGCCCCCTGCTTTTTCCTACCTCCTCAGGGCGAGCGTTTCCTCCGTCATGGAAAATCCTTCCCAGCTGAGCAGCTGCATTGCCGCCTGTCACGGGCTGCGTCCCTGCTCATGCGGCTGGTCCCCTGCTATCGTTTAAATTGTTTCCCGTTTCTCACTTTCTCAGAATAATGCTCGGGTGCACATTTTGTGTGTGTGCCTGTCCTCGTTTCAGACGGAACCTTCTAGCAGATTCCTGGGTTGGGCTTCAGGGAAGTAATCCCCTGCCCACAGCCTTGAGTCATCTGCTGTCCCATGTCTACTCCTCCCTGATGTTTGTCACCTGCATGAGAGCCCCCTCCCGGGCCCCGGCCCCCATGTGGGGCCAGCTCATCCCTCTCTGGGGTGCTGGAATTAATAAGGCCAAGTTCAGCCCTAGCCAGTTTGACTCCGTGCATGGAGCATTGGCCTGCAGACAGTAGGGTCCTGGGTTCGATTCTGGCCAAGGGCACATGCCCAGGTTGCAGGTTTGATCCCCAATAGGGGGCGTGCAGGAGGCAGCCTATCAATGATTCTCTCTTATCTTTGATGTTTCTCTCTCTCTCCCTTCCTCTCTGAAATCAATAAAAATATATTTTAAAATAAAATAAAAAGCCAAGCACATGTGTGTGCTGTGGCAGGGGCAGGGGCCTCCACAAGACAATGTGTTTTAGGCCCTTGGGAGTTGGGGAGGTGGCAGATATGGGGGTGCTAGTTATGGGGGCAGGTGGACTTGAGGTTCCCACTGGGTGAGGCCGCAGCTGGGCCTACCCCTCACATCAGGCCCACAGCCCGTGCTCACCTCAGGCTGGCAGGGGAGCAGGAGTGGCGGGGGTTCCAGCCCTGACTCCTCGCACCACTCCTGCTACCTCCCTCCCCACCTGGCCCCCAGCCCCCAGAAGGAGGCTGACCCTGTCCTGCCCTTGCCGGGGGCCCAGTATGTTGCAGAAGCAGAGGAGAAGCTGCAGCGGGCCCGGCTGCTGGTGGAGAGCGTGCGGAAGGAGAAGGTAGACCTGTCCAACCAGCTGGAGGAGGAGCGGAGGTAGGTGCTGCCCCTGCCCGGTCCTGGGAGCACATGTTCCCCGCGCCTCACAGGAGGATCCAGGTCCAAATCCTGCCTCCACCACCTACAGGCTGTGTCACCTGGACTAGTGACGTGAGCTCTGTGGGCCTCAGTCACCTCATCTGGAAGGTGGGCTGGTGATCCCCATGTCTACACGCTGTTGGGAGGACTTACACGATAATGCCAGTAGAGCACCGGGCAGGGTGCAGAACACGTGGGAACACTGTCCTTCCCACCTGGCGGGGCTCACTGTTCCTGCCCCACGCAGCTCAGGAAGCCTGTCATGAGGAGAACGCCCAGTGGAGGGCGTGGCTCTCATGCCCTGTGCCTCTAGGGAGATGTGTACCACGAGGAAGCCCCTGTGCTCTCACCCCCTTAACCAGCTCCCGTCCAGAAGCTGTTCCCATTTCCCGTGTCAGGAAACTGAGGCTTAGAGAAGCAGCCGCAAAGGGAGGCTTGAAACACCGCGCACCTGGTGTCAGCCGCATGCTGAGTGCGGTACTTGTACCACCTCAGCCTTACCACTAGCCTAGGCAGGTGTTAAGTGATGAGAAACTGAGGCTCAGGGCAGGGGAGGGACCTGTCCCAGGCCACCAGCCTGTTCATTGTTCGCTGGTTCTTTCTGACCGCGGAGGGGAGAGCTTGCTTACATCTGCCAGAGCCCACACATCTGGTTCCCGTGGCAGCGCCTGCTTGCCTAAAAACAAAAACAGGCCTTTAAGGCATTATGGGGTTTGTGGGGTTCAGAGAGGGTCTGGGTTCAATCCCGGCCTTGCCCTGGGTGAGCCTGGGTAGGCCACTGGCCCTTTCTGGGCCTCCGTTTCCCTCCCATGTGTGCTGGGAGCTGGGAGAAGCCCAGTAAGAGCAGCGTAGTGAGCGGTAATGTGCCTGTGTCTCCCTGAGGGTGGTGCCCCCCATATCAGGGAGCAGTGGGGATTGGACTCTAGCCCCCAATTATGGGGCCTGTGAATGAGTGTGGGTCAGCAGGGAAAAGCTTACCCTCCTGCCCTGCCTTCCCCCCCACCTCCCCTCCCACCCTCCGCTGTTCCAGGTGGCAGTGATGAAAACAGAGTGGTCACTAGCATCACTCTGTGTTAATTTATTCCCACGGCCAGCCTGGGGAGGAGGGAGGTGGCATTAAGTGCTCCCATTTCGGGGAAATCGGAGTCTGCGTGGAGCACAGGCCAGGAGGCTGGGAGGCTGGAGGTTTGCAGGAGGCTCTGTCCCCTCAGCCGTGTGGCTCTGGGCAGGTGTCCCCTACACGGGACAGCACCTTCGGTGTGGTCTGACCTCAGACGCTGGGCCATCTGTGGCCTCACCTCTGTCACTGCTGACTCAGGGAGGACCACCTGTCTGGGCAAAGCCTGTTTCAGCTCCCTCTCCCCCCACAGGAAGGTGGAGGACCTGCAGTTCCGAGTGGAGGAGGAGTCCATCACCAAGGGAGACCTGGAGGTAACAGTCAAAGGCACCATCCTGGCTTGCTTGGCACCCACGCCCAGCACTTGTGGGGCAGATGGCCAGGAGGTCCAGGCAGCAATTCCGGGCCCCCTCAGAGAGGCTCTGGGTTTGAGGGAGAAATGAAGAAGGATCAAAGGTCGTACTCTGGGGGAGCAGGAAGGGGGTTGGTCATGGGAGACTCAGATGTCACAGGTGGGAGTGGCTCAGCTCCAGGAGCCTGAGGGTCGTGCTTACTGTGTTGGCCACTGGGTGGGACGGACCCGGGCATCCACAGGGCGGGGCCTGAGGACATATTGGCTGGACTCCCCAGTCCCTGCATTGTTGGTTAATAGCCCTAAAGGTGACCCTTGGGCCCTTAGTTCATCTTAGATTCCAGGTACAATTTTGGCTAAAATCAGCTTGTTGAGTCACAGGAATTATAGATGGGAAAACAGACTCAGAAAGGCACATGGACTCCCCCAGTAACAAAGCAAGTCAGCAGCCCTGGGACCAGGGGCCAGGACTCCTGACCCCCGAGGGCAGCCGGAGAGGATGGCCAGTTACAGCACCTCCTTGTTATGACGCCTGGACACGTGGTCTAGACACAGGTGGACCTTGTACTCTTCAACCCGACCCACCCTTTCCAAGCTGAGGGGTGGGGGTGTTCACGTCAGTTAGTAAAGCACCCACCCCTCCCCACCCCAGCCCTCCTCACGAAACCATGCAGACCCACAGCGCATTCAGTCCCTCCCCACAGGCCGAGCTGCCCCACCTGGCCTTGGGCAGCCTCTTTCCTTCCCGAGCCTCAGTTTGCTCCACGGTAAAATGAAGAGGTCGGACTAGGTCCGTGAGTCTCAAACGTGAGAGTTCGTCGCCTGGGTGGCTTGTTCAGACACAGAAGGCCGGCCCAGCCCCATTCCGCTGGTCGGAGTGGGACCCGGGATGTCTAACGAGCTCCCGGGGATCTGTAGGGTCCCACTTCGGGAATCACTGCACTGGGTCATGCTGAGCTCAGGCTGGAAGTTGCAGCTTCTGGTTTTGTAAAAGAGCCATAGTAAGATCCTTATAAGTTCCGGTGCATAGCAAAAGTGTGCGAATGGTTGTCTGTCCCCTGGATGACTCCACCGTGAAGGGACATGTATGATCTTCATAGGGTCACTGCCAGCTGCCCCTGTTGGGGCAGGTTTTCCTACTCATGCTTAAAGGGTGGATGTCAAGGATGATGTGGTGTGAAAGCCCCAGGCCAGTTTCCCTCTTAGCCAAGGGGCAGGTATGTGGTTTTGTGCTTTGGCTAGCTTTTCCACTGGATGGCTGCCTCCTGCAGTTGGGGAAGCTCCTTCGCCGGTTAATTAATAATAAAAACGTGCCAGGCGTGGCTGTGTGCTTTGGAGGGGGTGACACGGTCCCTGTGAGGAGAAGGAAATGAGCCGCAGGTCCTGCAGGCAGGGCTCCCGGACAGGGATCTCAGCAGCCTCCCTCACTGCTCCCGTTGCTGACGGAAACCCCGCCTCCCCTCGGAGTCCATCTGGTCCGGGGAAGGCGCCCGCCCTGGGGTCCAGCAGCCTGAGCCTGGACCTCGCACTGCCCTAAGTTGTGCGATTCTGAGCAGAGGCTTCTCTGCTTGGAGTGGCTTCTCTCTCACAGGAGGGGAGACGGCCTTGATGGTGGTTCTCAGAACATTAACGCCAGGGGACCTGACAGTGACTGAGACAGCAGTGCAGTGGCCCCCAAAGGCCGTGGGCAGCATCCCTGGAGCAGAATGGAAGGCCAGACCGTCCATCCCACCTAAAATCTAGCCTCTGAGGCTGCCCCTCAAGCTCCTACTAGTTCATCAAATTTACCCTAATTAATGGAGCATCAGAGCAATCCCACTGAGCTCCCTGTGCCCCACAAAGACCCCAGCCCATGAACCGGGGGGCTGGACGTTTTGAAGGTGATGGAGAAGAGTCCTTCTGGGGGACACCAAATGAAATTGCCCTTAACATTGTAACGCTCGGGGCTTTTTCTTGCCTGTGGGGCCACCAGCGGGGCCACCAGGAGGGCATTTATGATCATGCCTGTCTAGCCTGGGTCTCGGGCAGTGTGCCCACCATTGGGTGGGGCATGGCCTGAGAGGCTGGGATGAGGCACCATTATCTGCCTGTGATTTTTCAGAAAGAGACTGAGCGCAGCTGCTTGTTTGCATTGCAGGATGCTGCCCTCTTGAGAGAGAAAAAGGGGACCTTTATAGTTCTTTTAGGAAAACTCACAGAAATGTATAAGGTCACAGGCATGAACATCTCTGTAGTTCTTGATGAACCACAAACGTGTTTCAGGGACGGGAGGTACTGGTTTACACCGTTGCCATCAGCCTTGCTGGTGTTCCGTGTGTATTCTTTTTACAAATACGTGCTCCCTTGCTGAGCCTGCCTCTTCAGAACTGCCCCCCAGACCTGCTTTAACCTTATTTCTCGTGGATGAGGATGGGACAGGCGGGAGACAAGGAGGACCATGCCTCTCCCTGCCATGAACTGGCCTCCCTGCTGGTCTGGGTGCTCACCGATCTGTTATGGGAAACCCAAATGCCAGCCTGGGAGGGTGGAGAATGCCGGGCTTTGTTAGCGTGTGGAGTGGGGGTTGTGAAGCTGGGACAGAAATGCCCTTGTGCTTTCGGGAGACTGGCTGTCTCCACAGGCCCGGGGGGGGGGGGGGGGGGGGGCCCCGCCGGGCCGGGCGGGGGGGGGGGGGGGGGGGGGGGGGGGGCACCGACAGGCCGGGCTTGGGGCTGGGCGGTGGGAGGCCAGGCTGGGAGAACCATGGTGGTATGGGTCATTTACTCTTCCTCCATCCTGGGAGCTGTGTGCAGGATCCTGTGCTTAGCCTGAAAGACAGCCCGTAGAGTCCCCGTGGGGAAGGGGAGAAGGCTGGCCCTCCCAGAGCTGCAGAGGGGAGGGCCCCTGGAGGTGACAGAGGGGCCCCGGGTGCCCGTAAGGAAACCCAGCCAGGACACAAGGGCAGGAGGCAGTCCCACCTCACCAGACCTCCTCTCTTTCCCTCAGCCACCTCCTCTCCTCGACCTGTTTTCCTGTCTTGTTCATGGTAGCTGACGCCGCCTCTCTCTCTCTCCTTCCCTCTCTCTTCCTCCGGCTTCCTTTCCCTGTGCCCTCTGCCCTCTCCCTCCCGCCCCACACGCTCCCCCGGGTGGACCAGACCCAGACCCAGCTGGAGCACGCGCGCATTGGGGAGCTGGAGCAGAGCCTGCTGCTGGAGAAGGCGCAGGCCGAGCGCCTGCTCCGGGAATTAGCCGACAACAGGGTAACCGCCTGCCGCCTCACCCGCCCGCCAGCCCTCCCCTGGACGCCCGGGGCTGCTCTGCGGGATGGTTTCCTCTGTCCTCGCTGCTGTCCTCAGTGTTTTTTCCCTCTTGTGCCCTTCTAGGAGGGGAGTGGAGGTCAGACACTGCCTCCACTCCCGTCTATTGGGGGGAGGGGGCTTGGCTCTCTGGGACTTGGCTCCCCAGGGGAATGTCCTGTGAGACCCTCCGCCCTCCGCCCCATGCATTGCCATGACAAGGCTTGGTCAGGTTCAGAAACCAGGGGCCTCTCGGACAGGTCTGCCTCCTGCGGGCAGTCACGGAGACAGCCTATCCACGCCTCCCTTCTCCCGGCTGGGAAGGCGGAGGATGGGGTCCAGGTTCTCTGGAAGGCCTTAAATATGGTGGAAGGAGGGGCCCCTGGAGGACCTGGGCTGGGGGAGGAGGGGTGTTCCCGGACATGGGTTTCTGTGTCAGTCCAGGGTGTGGCTGCTGTGATAGGAGGAGCCAGGGAGTGGTTCCTAGGCTAGGGAAAGCTCTGTTTGGGGGTGGTTCCCCCAAGTCCCAGGGCCTGGTTCCAAGTCCGGGCTCCAGGCCCAGCTGGCCCCTCCACAGCCCATGCATGTCCCTGGACTGGCCCCCTGTGCAGGGACACACGTCCAAACAGCTGGCTGGCCTAGCCCAGCGGACAGTGCTGTTCTCCTGGCAACGGCGTTAACAGCCAGCGAGCAGTGTTTGGGGGTAAACAGCATGGCGTGTGGGGTGAGCAGCCGTCAGTCTCTGCGTGTCGGCCTCAGCACAGGGAGTGTGTGCGTGGGGGGAGGTGGGTATCTGGGAGGCTCATGGCACTGCACACTAAGCGTTGCCCAGGGACCGTGTGCTTGTGCAGTACACACGCGTGTGCACAGAGGCTGTGGGCAGAAACTGACCCAGTCACAGTTGACAGGCCCAGCCCTCCACACCCAGGCAGGCACCTTGAACCTCGGGCTCAACCTGATTGAAAAAACAAAAAACAGGTTCATTGAACTAACTGATTTGGCTCAGTGGATAGAGCGTTGGCCTGCGAACTGAAAGGTCCCAGGTTCGATTCCGTTCAAGGGCATGTACCTTGGTTGCGGGCACATCCCCAGTAGCAGCTGATCGATGTGTCTCTCTCATCGATGTTTCTAGCTTTCTATCCCTCTCTCTTCCTCTCTGTAAAAAATCATTAATACATACACACACACACACACACATATATGTAATATATGTTATATATATTATATATTTTTTAAACTTAAAAAAATAAAGGTCAGCTTCAGAAACAAAAATACTTAAGTTTATAACAGATTTAAAACGTTTAAATATTTTTGTTTCCAAATCTGTGACCATTGACGTGATTGAGGTGTGGGGTTTTGGAGGCTGGAGCCTATGATCTCAGAGTTTCCCTCAGGAGGCAGGTCTGGGAGCATTAATTTTGTTCTGCGTTAGGCATTCAACCGGTCCTCCTTTGCCCACCCTCTTCAGACAGCCCCTGAGACCCCCCATTCCCGCTGGGGGACTTGCAAACTCCCTGCCATCTCTGCCCTTTAACAATCACGTGAACTGAAAGAAGGCCGTAGCCTCAAATAAGTGGGGTTTTTAACCACCAGTTTGTCCCCCGCCTGGTGCCGTGGAGACCGTTGACTCCCTGAATCGCTGGGGTACCAGCCAGGGCGCTCTTCCCGGGAGGTGTGGCGGGCCAGGCCCCTGAGAAAAGCCACAGTTGAGTAGGAGTGGGCGCCCTTCCCTTCTCATGACCTTACCCCGCAGGGCCCGGGGCCCCTGAGTGGTGAGGAGGCCCCCGCACCCCTGCTGCACCCCCTTGCTCTCCGGCCGGCCCGCTCACCGCCTCCCTCTCTCCCCGGCAGCTGACCACGGTGGCCGAGAAGTCGCGGGTGCTGCAGCTGGAGGAGGAGCTGAACCTGCGACGGGGCGAGATCGAGGAGCTGCAGCAGTGCCTGCTGCAGTCCGGCCCGCCGCCCGCCGCCCACCCCGAGGCCGCCGAGACCCTGCAGCTGCGGGAGCGGCTGCTGTCGGCCAGCAAGGAGCACCAGCGGGAGAGCGGTGTGCTGCGGGACAAGTACGAGAAGGCCCTGCGGGCCTACCAGGCCGAGGTGGAGAAGCTGCGCGCCGCCAACGAGAAGTACGCCCAGGAGGTGGTGGACCTCAAGGCCAAGGTCCAGCAGGCCACCAGCGAGAACATGGGGCTCATGGACAACTGGAAGTCCAAGCTGGACTCGCTGGCCTCGGACCACCAGAAGTCCCTGGAGGACCTCAAGGCCACCCTGAACTCGGGCCCCGGCGCCCAGCAGAAGGAGATCGGGGAGCTGAAGGCCGTGATGGAGGGCATCAAGATGGAGCACCAGCTGGAGCTGGGCAACCTGCGCGCCAAGCACGACCTGGAGACGGCCGTGCACGTGAAGGAGAAGGAGGGCCTGCGGCAGAAGCTGCAGGAGGCCCAGGAGGAGCTGGCCGGGCTGCAGCAGCACTGGCGGGCCCAGCTGGAGGTGCAGGCGGGCCAGCACCGGCTGGAGCTGCAGGAGGCCCAGGACCAGCGCCGGGACGCCGAGCTGCGGGTGCATGAGCTGGAGAAGCTGGACGCGGAGTACCGGGGCCAGGCGCAGGCCATCGAGTTCCTCAAGGAGCAGATCTCCCTGGCCGAGAAGAAGATGCTGGACTACGAGCTGCTGCAGCGGTCCGAGGCCCAGAGCAGGCAGGAGGCCGACAGGCTGCGGGAGAAGCTGCTGGTCGCCGAGAACAGACTCCAGGCCGTCGAGTCCCTGTGCTCGTCCCAGCACGCCAACGTACGCAGCAGCGCCTTCTCGCGGGGCCCGTGAGCGACAGCGGCTCAGGCTTGAGAGCCAACTGGGGAGGGCCTAGCGTGGACTGACCTCTTTTCTCAGCTCGGGGAAGCGTGCTCGTTGCCCCCAGGTTCATGTCCATTGAGATGTGGGGCACTAGGCTCAGAGGAGGGAGCCTCTCGTCCCTCTGTGAGATGGGCAGCCGGCCCGGTGACTGTGGGGACCCACAGTGGTCTGAGCTGACCTGGCTGGTTTCCCCACAGACCAGGCCTGGAGAGAGATGTACCTCAGGGCAGAGAACAGGCTTCCTCCAAGTCCCTATGTGCCCACACGTGTCCTGCTGAGAGTCCCCTGTGCCGTGGGCTGGCCTGGATGTGGACAAGCCCTGCCCATCCCCAGCTCCCATCTCCCCCTGGGGCGCTGACCCAGGGGACCCGAGGGCGCCCTCTTCCTGCTGGTCCTAATGAGACGAGCCACAGTCCAGGGGTCACTCTCCCAGAGTGGGGGTCCCGGGAGTGGGGTCTGGGAGGCCGGAGGGGGTGGTCCTGGGGAAGCTACTGCCACCGGTCTCAGCTTCGCCCCAAGTCCAGACGTCCCGGCTGAGCACACTGGGGAGGCCCAGACGGGCTGTGTTCACTCCAGGGGGGCTGGGACGGGCCTGTGTGTGGCTCCGGGCACCACACCTGGTGCCAGGCCCTATGCTGCCCCATTCCAACTTCGTTCCCACGAGGTCGATGCTCCGTTTCTTAGATGATCCAACCAAGACCTCACGACGAGTAACCTTACCAGGGTTTCTGCCCTCTGGTGGCAGAGACGGTGCCCAGCCCTGGTGCCAGGGGGCGCCCGGGAGGACAGACGTCAGGTTTGAGGTGAAGGGACAGCTAGGAGCAGGATCGTTGCCTTTTTCACAGGCCCCGGGGGTTCTCAGGCTTCTGGTTGCCCCTGTATGTTTACACTAGAACTCGGCACTCCAGCAGTAAGTCCTCAGGAGGCCTGAGTGCAGGGCGCCCTCATGCCTTGAGGTCCCAGGGTAGCAGCCTTCCGGCCCCTTCTGCTAGGAAGTGCTCTCCCAGGATCCTGGGCAGAGGGGAGGAAGAGCCCAGGTCAGCCTATGCGCATACGTCCTGATTGGCTTCTCAGGCGGGGGTCAGGCCGGGACCCCACCATGGGCTCCCTCAGCGGGAGAGGTTTGGGGCTGCTCTAGCTCCACAGAGCTCCTGCTCCTCAGTCACAGTCCTCGGGTGGAGGCGTGGGCAGTGACCTCAAGAAGACCTCTCTTGACTTCTGCACAGACGGGGGTCTCAGTCTGGACCCACATGTCCACGTACAGCTGGATTTTTAGTCTAATGTGATAAGCATGAGAATTTTAAAAAGATGTTTTAGCGTGTGCCTCGTTTTCCCTGCAGGGTTTGTCAGTAACGATCTAGGGGCTTAGTTATCACCAGCTGAGAACGGGGCTTGGGATGTATGAGAAGAAGTATGAAGGGCAGGGTGATGGAGGCGACTGCCTGCTCAGCTCTGGGCCATCCTGATCCGCAGTGTTAGACTCAGACACACGGCAAGCTCAGAGGACAGCCAGCTTGGACAGGAGGCCAGAGACACTCGGAGAAGGAAGCAGTAAGGAGCCAGTTGATTTTTGCCCATATTTTTTCCCCTTGATCTTTTCTTCTTCGGCTTCTGAGTTTATTATTTAGAAGAAGAAGTGTTAGAGAGACAGGAAGGAGCATTCTTGAAGTCCCTCTGGGAGCTAGCCCGGAGTATGCTCCCCGCACACCGCCCCACGGTGGTCAATGCTTGTTTCGTGGAGGGAAACAGGCTGGAATCTTGCTTCTGGATGTTGATAAGACAGATTCCCAGGACCAACCCCTGTAGGCATTCCAGGGAAGGAGACGTCTTATCAATATATCAATAATAAACATTTCCAACCGAGGGAGGGGCAGGAGGCGTTCAGTGGGAGCCACAGGGCAGCCGTGGGGTGACGGGAACAGAGGAGGGCCCTCTGTGGTCAGGGGGGTCATCTCAAGGACCCCTGTGCTCCCTGCCACAGCGAGTTTCCTCGTGTGGTGTGGGCGTGGCGTTGGCTGGGCTGGCGGGGGCTGGGGCCGAGGGGAGGCGGGCGTCCCCCTTACAGTCCTCTTCTTTCAGATGATTGAGTCGAACGACATTTCAGGGGAGAAGATGAGGATGAAGGAGATGGTGGAGGGTGAGTGGCCACTGGGCAGGCGGGACACGGGCTTTGGGGACAGGCTGGCTGGTTCTGCCTCTGGCTGGTGCCACTTGGTTTTGCATCACCTGCCATTTGGGGAGAGGTGCCTGCTGCACGCACAAGCCATCACCCCGCCCGTGGGTGAGGAGGGCCGCGGCTCCGTTTGTTGAGTGCTGAGCATATCTTGTTTGTTCGGTTTTACGTTGTTTTTAAAATAGGTATAAACTACAAATGGTTCAAAGGGCATAAGGTGAAGGGTCCTACCCCTGTTCTCTTCCCAAAGGCACAACATGGGTCAGCTTCTGTCCCTACGCACAGAGCATTTCTGCACATACAAGCAAATAGGGAACAGATGGCCCCTTACTTTCTTCCATTTAATAATGTGTCTTGGAGACTCTTCCTTATCTCTGCATTCTTTTCCGAGGTGCAGAGTATGCCATTGTGTGGAGCTACCCTCATTTAGCCAGTTTCCTGCTGATGAATTGTAGGTTGTTTTTAGTCTTTGCTGCAAACACCGCTGCAGTAAATTACCTCCTCCTTGGGCTTAACCAATTTTGACTCTCATTGGCTGTGGTTGAAAGTATGTTTCTGGCCCAGCCAGTATGGCTCAGGGGTTGAGCATTGACCCATAAACGGAGGTCAGTTTGATTCCTGGTCAGGCACATGCCCAAGTTGCAGGCTTGATCCCCAGTAGGAGGCGTGCTGTTTCTAACTTTCTCCCTCTCACTTCCTCGCTCTGAAACCAATGAAAACATTGTTTTAATAAAAATAAAAGTGTGTTTCCTCACCAACAATGTTTCAGCAAACTGATCTCTGCCAATCGGAAGAGTAAAAGATGTTGCCTGGTGTAATTTCCACTTAGCTTTCTCTCACTGAGAATGAAGTGCCACTTCCATGTCTCCTTGCATCCTTTATCCATTTTATTCCTAATGTTAGTGATCTTTTTGTCCATTTTTCAGGAATTCCTTATTTATGACATTGCGAACACATCCCCCAAGTTGTGGTTTCGCTTTTCTTATGATGGTATTTGCCATTTAGATTTTCTTAAATCGATCTTTCTTGGGGGTGGAGGGCTTCGGCATTTATTAATTTATTAATTATCTGGTGGTTTCTTCTAGTACTTTTTAATTCCTTATTCTATGTTTAAATCTCTGATCACTCTAGAATTCATCCTTCTAGAAGGTGTGAAGTAAGGATCCATTTTTATTTTTTTCCTGTAAGAGTACCCCATATTTGAAAAACTTATCTCCCCTTCTCTACTGACCTGAATGGCCAACCTTATTAGTTTTAACTTTCCTTATGTAAACTGACTCTATTTCTGGATTTTCTGTTCCTTTCCAATGACCTTTCTATTTGTTCATGTGCTAATTCTATAATTTTAAAAAATCTTTTGTTGATTTTTAGGAAGGGAGGAAGAGAGAGAGAGAGAGAGAGAGAGAGAGAGAGAGAGAGAGAGAGAGAGAGAGAGAGAGAGAGACAGACATTGATGTGAGAGAGACACATCGATCGATTGCCTCTCACACTCACCCTGACCAGGGATCGAATCCATGACCTCTGCTGCAGAGAATGATGCTCCAACCAACTTAGCTGCTCCGGCTATGGCCTATAATGTTTTAATTACCCAAGCTCTGTTTGGTTTTTAATTACTGGTAAGGCTACCCTTGGCTAATTCTGCTCTTTCAAAAATTCTCTTGACCATTTAAAAAAAGATATTTTTTATTGCTTTTTTTGCAGAGAGGAAGGGAGAAGGATAGAGAGTTAGAAACATCGATGAGAGAGAAACATTGATCAGTTGCCTCCTGCACACCTCCCACTGGAGATGTACCTACAACCAAGGTACATGCCCTTGCCCGGAATCGAACCTGGGACCCTTCAGTCCACAGACCAATGCTCTATCCACTGAGCCAAACCGGTTAGGGCAGCCTTTTTTTTTTTTTTTTTTTTTTAATCCTCACCTAAGGACTCTTAAAGAGAGAAAGGGAGAAAGAGAGAGAGAGAGAGAGAGAGAGAGAGAAAGAGAGAGAGAGAGAGAGAGACAGACATTGATGTGAGAAAGACACATCGGTTGGTTGTCTTTCATTCTCGCTCCAACCAGGGATCATTCCACAACCCAGGTTAAGTGCCCTGACCGAGAATTGAATCGCAACCTCCTGGTTCATGCATCAACGCTCAACCACCGTGCCACACCAGCCCGGTTTGTCTATCCAGTATTGAATGCACATGACCTTGTGACATGGGCACCATTATTATCATCTCCATTTCTCACTTGGGGAAACTCTGAGCGTTAGGTTGCCTGAGACCACATGGTACTGGAGCCTTTAATTCTGAGTGAGCTACCCAGAGAGGCGGGTGGCGGCTGCTGGACGTGGAGTGTGAATGGCCCCTCGTCTCCCCCTTCTCCCCTAGGCCTGCAGGACAAGCTGAACAAGAGGGACAAAGAGGTGACAGCCTTGACGAACCAGACGGAGACGCTCAGGGCCCAAGTAAGTGGTAAGTCTCCCTCCCGCAGGGCGTACGCGGGGGCTGTCCCCCGGGCCACGTGCCAGGGGAGCGTGGGGCGGGTTGGCATCCGGGTCGGGTGCCCGCCCGCACTCTGCCTCAAAGAGGAGGTGGCCGGGGCCAGTTCACCTGCACTGGACTTCCCCGGGCAGCAGGGATGGGGGAATGGCACCCCTTTCGTGGCCCATGATGGACTCGGGGACCCCAGCCAGCTTCTCCCGCCAGCGGCCACGCTGTTCTGAAATACCACCGAGGCTTTTGGATTCTCGGGCCACTCTGACACGGTCTCTCCGCCGCCCTGGCCTCTGGAGGAAATGCCGGGGCTTTAGAATCGGGGTGGGGGAGGGCCCGGGCTGCGGCAGAGAGCAAGGCCCAGGGGACCTGAGGACAGGGGGCGCCTGGGGGAGGCAGGGCGCCTGGAATGTGTGACGTGGTGACAGACTGGCCCTGCTGCCTGTCCAGCACAGTGTCAGGGGCGGTGTCCGTGCGGCGGCCCCGGGCTGGGACATGGCTCCCACCCGCCTCTCCCCGGTTCCCATCCCGTTCACAGGGCCTAACTGGTTCCAAATAGAGGTCAACTGACCTAGTTCCTTCAAGGCAGAGGTGCAGCTAGAGCCCATGCCTGCTCAGGCAGGAGTGGCATGTCTCAGGGGGGACTGCTTCCCACCGCCCAGGGCCCGGGCTCTGAGCTTGGGGCCCTGGTCTGCTTCCTGTGGCTGTTCTCTCCGCCCCTGGCTGCCTGGCTCTGCGGGACCGGCGAGGGCCGCTCAGTGGAGTGTGTCACTGGAACCCTCCCCCCCCCCCTACACACACACACACACACATTCTCCGAGAACACGGGCTCCCTGCCTGGGCCGGCCCGCTGGGGGGACAGGTTCCCACGGCGATCCTGACCCCGCCTTCTTCCTGCTGGCTGACCCTCAGCGCTGGAGAGCAAGTGCAAGTCGGGGGAGAAGAAGGTGGACGTCCTGCAGAAGGAGAAGCGGCGCCTGGAGGCGGAGCTGGAGGCCGTGTCCCGGAAGACGCACGACGCCTCCGGCCAGCTGGTGCTCATCAGCCAGGAGCTGCTCAGGAAGGAGCGGTGCGTAGCCGGGGCGGTGTGCTCCGGCCTCCCGCCCGCCACAGCCGTCTCCCCCTGCCCTGGCCTCCCTCCACCTGGCACGAGCCAGTGTCCTCCGGAGGTGGGCGAAGGGGGACGGGGTAGGACAGGTGGCTGGCGTCCCCAGGGGTCGCTGTGCTCTCCTCCGCTAAGCTCAGAGGAGGCCCCAGTCCTCCCTAACACAGTTCTCTCTCCGAGCAGAGCTTAGGGAGGACGAGTGGCTCCCACACTTCTTGGTCTTCATCGCTGCCTTTAAACTCTTCAAACGTATGGAGGATTCCCAAGGAGCTTGTGTTTGCTTAGTCTGTGTTTGTCACATCAGACATTAAAAGTGAGGAATGTGCCGAAGGCGGTTTGGCTCAGTGGTGGAGCGTCGGTCTGCGGACTGAAAGGTCCCAGGTTCGGTTCCGGTCAGGGGCATGTAGGTTGGTTGCGGGCACATCCCCAGTAGGGGGTGTGCAAGAGGCAGCTGGTCGATGTTTCTCTCTTATCGACGTTTCTAGCTCTCTATCTCTCTCCCTTCCTCTCTGTAAAAAATCAATAAAATATATATTTTTTTAATTAAAAAAAAATAAAAGTGAGGAATGTAAAAATATTTTTTAACTCACTTAAAAATAATAAACCAATTGCATGTGCCGTAAATAACATGCTTTTGATAAAAAGCGACTGTTTTCCAAAACAAAAAGGTATCTAATGAGACGAGGGGCATTGTTTAACATTTTTGTATTCCGTCTTTGCAGTGTGTTGTTTTGGTTGAAGCATATTATGAAAACCTGGCCTCACAGTGATTTGTAGTTAGAAAAGAGCGTATTTTAATATTGTTTTCAGGTCATTAATATGTTACGTGACCCCAAGAAAAAAGTTCATTGTATGCACATGAGAAATGATAGTGAAAATAGCCGAAACCGGTTTGGCTCAGTGGTAGAGCGTCGGTCTGCGGACTGAAAGGTCCCAGGTTCGATTCCGGTCAAGGGCATGTACATTGGTTGTGGGCACATCCCCAGTAGGGGGTGTGCAAGAGGCAGCTGGTCGATGTTTCTCTCTCATCGAAGTTTCTAACTCCCTCTCCCTTCCTCTCTGTAAAAAATCAATAAAATAAAATAAAAAATGATAGTGAAAATAGTTTTGATCCAAGGATCCCTTGAAAGAGTCTTGGGGACCCCTGAGGGTTCCCTATGCTGCACTCTGAGAACCACTTGGTTCCAGTTTATAGACATGGTTTGCATAACCTATATGAGGCTTTAGGGGGGAAAGAACACATAGATGAACATTTAAAAAATCAGAAGATAGCACATAAAATCTAGATTTCTCCAGAAGTTCTCACAACAATAGGCTGACTCCTAGCAGAGCAACAACCAGTCATTGCTGGGGAGCACCTGCACCCTCTCAGTGGACAGGGAGGTCTCGTGTCCCAAGTCGTCCCCCCTCTTCATTGTTTTACTTACACCCACTTCTGGGCCTAGTCTGCCAGCCCCTGTGAGCATTTGAGGTTCATCCTCTGATTTAAAGGAACCTTGTGAAAGTGCAAACATCTTTTTATAAAGGAAATGGCGTCTCTTCCCTTCCCGTCCTGTTGAGTCTGATGACACCCTGAGGCTTTCTGTGCTAGATTCGCTGTAAATTTAGCACCTCTCTGGAAAATGTGGCCCTTCCCTGGGGGAGGGAAACAGGTGCAGCTGGGGAACACTCCTTCCCAGCATGCACTCCCAGCCAGCGGGTGCTCCGTCCAGGCTCCGCTGCTGTCTCGCTCCCCGTATCCTCTCCTGTCCACGTCTGATACTTTATTCTCGGGGCTCAGCCCAGTCTTGCCTCCTCTGAGGAGTCTGTCTTCCTGCTATCAACAGGCTCATTTCTCCCTCTGTCTGTCCCTCACCACTCACTCAATTGCTACCTTCTTCTCTTTGGACATCTCACCCTGTCCAGTCCATGCTTGAGGCTTAGCTCTTAGCCCATCTCTTCTTTGAAGCCTTCCTTTATTGAAGTAGGCCACCACGAGTGAGCTCCCCATGCTCCTGTGATGCTCAGGACGGGAGTGGAGGATCAGCTAGGAATACTTGGCAGATTAACCAGTAGATTTACTTTCCTCGCATAACAGAAATCTGGGAGTAGCGATGGATGACGGTCAGTAGCTAAACATATCAGTGCTAAGTGACTGGTTCTCTTGGAATCTTCCTCATGGTTGCAGAGTGGCTGCTGGAGCTCCAGCCATCACATCCACAGCAGGAGGGAGGAGGAAAGGGACTTCCACTTTGTTCTCAACTCCCCATGGCCACCCAGTGAGGGAGTTTCCCTCTCCTCCATAGTAGTTTCAGGGAGGGGGAAAGGCTTGGAAGGAACGTGTCCTATTCTCTAAGCCTGTGCCCACTGCAGACATTGCTCACTGACTGCAGCACCCCTTTCCGCACAGCCTGGATGTGCCCGAGAATCCTTCTCATCCCAGTATTCCAGGCAGCTGCTGCTAGCTGGTTAAGGGCTGACATAGGGGTGAGGGGTGGGGGAAATCTCATCTGATTTCAGCCATTCAAAATGTCTTGCTTCATGGGTGCCCTTGGATGAGTATTTTGTTTGCTTAGCTTAATGTTTAGTTAAATAAATATTCCCTTTATAAAAAATAAATAAACAACTTCAAAAACATTCTAGGAAAGGCCAAATCCTCTTCAGTGTTTCGTCCCTAAATCCTGGTCCCTCCTGGGCTGTGGTTGAATGATTTCACACCTCATGTTTCCACACTGGTGTTGTTTTAATAGCCAGTCTCCTCCGCAGAGTGGCCGTCTCCAGGCATCTGGCAGATGGCTGGAGTGTGGGAGTGACAGTAGCTGTTCTTTGCCCCTCCTCCCCTCCCCCCAGGAGCCTGAACGAATTGCGGGTATTGTTGCTGGAAGCCAATCGCCACTCCCCAGGGCCCGAGAGGGACCTGAGCCGCGAGGTCCACAAGGCTGAGTGGCGGATCAAGGAGCAGAAACTCAAGGATGACATCCGGGGCCTTCGTGAAAAGCTGACGGGGCTGGTACGTGGGGGCAGGGGAACGCTAGGGTGGGACTGAGGCTGCCCTGCATTTCGGCCGGGAGAGTAGTGACCTCCTGGAGCCATCCCAGGAACCGCCAAGCCCCAGAGAATTCAGTCCCTTAAACCACAGTCAGTGATGCAGCTGGTGCAGGGGTCACAGGCAGCTGCTTTTGCAGCATCGTGGCCGGCTGCTGTGTGGCAGACTAGGGGGTGCAATGCTAAGGAATGCTGTCTAAGAATCTGACCAGCCGAACCAGTTTGGCTCAGTGGATAGAGCGTCGGCCTGCAGACTGAAAGGTCCCAGGTTCAATTCTGGTCAAGGGCATTTACCTTGGTTGCGGGCACATCCCCAGTGGGGGGTGTGCAAGAGGCAGCTAATCGATGATTCTCTCTCATCGATGTTTCTAACTCTCAATCCCTCTCTGTATATAAAATAATCCTTTAAAAAAAAAAAAGAGAAAGAGAGAGAAAAGAATCTGACCTACCCGGGTACGGTGGGCTCTGCAGGGTGGTGAGCTCCCCACCCAGAGAAGTAATCAACCAGGAGGGGCCCTGCAGTGGGGGCTCACACCTGAGTGTCAGGAGGAAGGGGGCGAGTTTGTGTAAAGGCGGGTGTGTCTCCAGAGACCATCATGGGTGGGGCCGCTGTGTCCTGCCGGGTAGAGGAGGAGGAGTAGAGAAGTCACTATAGGATGGGGTCTGGCAGTCAGGAGGAGGGACCCACATAAGAGTGTGGAGGGAGTGGGGAGAATCAAGGAGAGAGGAAGGCGTCTGGATTTTGCAACTTGGAGGATGTGAAGCGTCTGACAGAGCCTGCTTCAGTGGGGACCCTCAGGGGAGGGAGGGGGGTCTGGCCCAGCGATGGGGTGGGGCCAGGAGGATTTCCTGCCTGGAGGAGGCCCCCCTCCCCTCACACACACGCACACTGCACCCTCACGCATGCTCTTCCTGTCTCCGGCCACTTGTAGGACAAAGAGAAGTCGCTTTCGGATCAGAGGCGCTACTCCCTCATCGACCCATCCTCGGCACCTGAGCTCCTGCGGCTACAGCACCAGCTGATGAGCACAGAGGACACGCTGCGGGACGCCCTGGACCAGGCTCAGCAGGTGGAGAAGCTCATGGAGGCCCTGAGGAGCAGCCCCGACAAGTCCCCGGTGAGCCATGGGCCAGGGCTGGGCTGACCAGGCAAGCCAGTGGCAGTGTCCTCATGGAGCATGGCCCTGTCCTGGGAACCCCCAGTGTCAGGGGAAGGCGGCCCTGTCCGCAGAAAGGGTCTGAAGCAGGAGGCAACCCTATCGATCCTGGGAACCCTGGTCTAGGGGGCAGAGACATAGGCATGTGCTCTGAGAGCCCCAGCCCAAGGGTACATGGCTTTGCCATGAGGACCTCAGACCAAGGGGAGAGATGCAACCTTGTCCGGAGAGCTTTGGTCTGTGGGTCCCGGGACCCCCATTCCCAAGAGCTCTGATCAGTTTGGAGCCCGAGCGATCCTATCAAGAAGACATCGCCATCTAGTGGACGAACGAGGAACTGTTGTCTGGTGAGCCTCACTCGGCATCTGCCCATGACTCTTACAGGCCATTGGCAATTCGGGTTCTGCGAACGGCATCCACCAACAAGACAAGACCCACAAACAAGAGGTAAGGAGCTCTCTGGTCCCAGGGGACACCGTGGCACTCCCACCGCACTCCTGCACAGGCAGGAAAACCTGACAGGTCACCAGAAATGCAAACAACGATGCATCGTGCAAAGGCTTCACAGTAGGGTCTCTCAGAGGAACCCACGCAGTCCACCTTAATTCAGAATTCCTCTTGCTTTCTAACCTTGTTTCCCTGTTTTTAAAAAATACATATTTATTATAAAGTGATACATGCCTCTTGGGAAACTTTTGAGAAAAAAAACTAAAACATATAAAGAAGAAAATACTATAGTAGCCCTTTTACTCAGAGATGACCAGCGGCGGTGTTTGTAAGTGGTAGCCTTCCTGAACTTTCCTAAGTGTGTGTGTGTGTGCGCACACAGATATGTACAATCAAGCCTCATTATTCACAGATTCCATATTTGCAAATTTGCAACTAAAATGTGTTTATAACCCCAAAATCAATATTTGCAGCAATTTTGTGGTTGTTTATGGACATGTGCAGAGCAGAGAAAAATCTGGGTTGCCTGACCTGCATGTTCCCAGCCGAGGGGTACAAGGCTGCTCTCTCCCTTCTCGGTTCAGCTCTCATTCTGCAAACCTGTCCGTTTTGAAATATATTTAATGCCACCTTTTCCACGTTCTTGTGCTTTTTACTTGGTGATTTCTGCTGTTTACAATGACCGCCTACTGATGGCTATGTGCCTACAAAAAATCTGTGTGTTAAATCGGCCCAGATGATGTGATCCAATAGTCGAGTGTCAATCTATGAACCATGGAGATCACAGTTCGATTCCAGGCCAGGGTGCATGCCCCGGTGGCAGGCGCAGTCCCCAGTGCGGGGCATGCAGGAGGCAGCCGAACAGTAACTCCCATCGTTGATGTTTCTCTCTGTCCCTCTTCCCTCCTCTCTGAAATCAATGAAAATATATTTGAAAAGTAAATAAGCTTTGTTCAGGCATGAATTATACAGTAAGTCCTCACTTAAGGTCAATGATGGGTTCTTGGAGATTGCAACTTTAAGCGAAATGACATATGACAAAACCAGTTTTACGATTAGCTAATTGATATAAACAGGAGTTAAGTTCCCATGGCATATTTCTGGCCACAAAAACATCACCAAACTTCTAAATGAAGACCCCAAACACTTGTAATATTAAACATGGAGATAAACATGAGCTGTACAGACATTTAAGAAGAATAAAAACAGGTAAGATCATTTTATTCCAGGTCAGGGTCACAGGTGGCTGGGTCTCTCCCAGCAGCTCAGAGCACAAGCTGGGATCCGCCATCACAGGACGCCCTTCCATCATAGTGCCACTCACACCCACACCCACGCGGACTGGGACGGTGTAGGCACGCCAGTTTATCTCACACGCAGGTCTTTGAAATGTCGGGGGAAGCCAGAGTCCCCAGAGAAAACCCATGCTGACATGGGGAGGATGTGCAAATGTCACACAGACAGTGGTCCCGGCCAAGAATGGATTTTCCCCCCGTCACCATTAGAACAAAGCGATGTTATTCGAAGACCTGCGGTACTGTTGGCCTTGAGTTGTTAATGAGTCAGCAGCATGTGTTAATTAAGATGTCTGTACACAGAATCACTCATAAAACACGGCTATGTATGATCAGTTGACTAAAACGTCCTGATCAGAGGTTTGAGGGAACCTAAACCCATATTTCCGCCGGGAGCAGTGGCTTGGCATTCGCTGATTGAGCGCAGATGATGACTTTATAGGACATAACTACTGTGAATAATGCGAAACTGTTTTATGTGCATGTACATGTACATGCATGTGGGTAAACATTAGCTTTATTTGGAAATCACTTCAAAATTACCAAAAAACTGCAAGAGTAAAAGTAGTACTACCTAGCATGTCATCTGCCCTTTCCCACGTTGCATTGCAAGCATGTTGCCCTGTGTGTTTCGTCTCTTGCTCTCTGTGTGTAGCTGTGTGTGTGGTAAGGCCTGTAATTTTTTTCTGAACCATTTCAGTGTAATTGCAGGTCTTGGCCCATAACACTTGGGTCTGCATTTCCCGAGTAAAAGGACATGATTATACATAAAACAGTACAGTTATCAATTTCAGCAAACGGAACGTTGATCTAAGATTTATATCCATTCTACTCTGCATACTCATTCTCCCCTCTGTACAGGATTCTCCACAGGTTACGTTAGCTTATTGCATTTAGCTGTTATGTCTCGTTAGTCTCCTTTAATCTGGAACATGTTCTCGATTTCTCTTTGATTTTTATGGCATTTTTGAAATATAGTCCCCACTCCTTTTGGAAATATATACATTGAGTGGCCAGATTAGTATGATCTCTGAACGCATACTAATCTGGCCACTCAGTGTATATCCTATATAATAAAAGGCTAATATGCAAATTGTCCTCTCTACCAGGAGTTTGACCAGCCCATTCCCCCCCCCCCCCCCCCCCGCCAGTCTGGCCAGATCCCACCCATGCACGAATTCATGCACCAGGCCTCATACACACACACACACACACACTGAGTGGCCATATTATTATGCAATCAGAGATCATAATGATCTGGCCACTCAGTGTATATTTGTATTGATCTGAGCCAGGTCCTGCATCTCGGACTGGACCACTTCGTCAGTGCCGTGTGTTCGGTATCCAGACTGGGGACATGATGTCCATCTGCCTTTCCCTCCTGATGTGAATTGCGATCACCTCATCAAGGAGTTCTCTGATTTCTCCCCTGCATAGTTATTGGCTCTTTTTAACAATCAGGCTGTGGGGACGGTAGGGCCATGTGACTACCCTCTCCTCGCTGAGCCCCTCCCCTGGAATTAACATCCGGGGGTGACTCTAGCCTGAGCCAATCTTTACTGTGATGGTCGCAAAGCAGCACATACATCATTTTAATAGAGTAAGTCTCACACTGTATTCAATTTCTTCTCCTGTACTTTCCACTGAATATTTTAAACAAGCATTTTCTCTCTTCCTTAAGCAATCTATTAAGCCCACGTTTTGTAACATTATGGGTATAAAATTGGTTTTCTAGAACTTTGTGGGCCTAAAGGTGCCTGTGGCCCCAGTGATTGTTATGTCTTTGCTAGACTGTTGTGTTTTAAGAGGGTGCCTGATGGCCCCACCCCACAGGTAACACCGGCTTTTACCCACAGTGTAATGGGCACCCACCTGGGGCCCAGATGCCAGCCCAGTAGGTGGAAAGAGCCCAGCACAAGCTCTGTCCCTGGTTTGCCATGTGATCTTGGGCAAGTGAGGCTGGAGGAACTTGTCCTCCACCCCAGACAGGAGAGCCCCCGGGCACACGTGCTCACCTGGAGAGAGGACCTTGGACATAGAATCTGCCAAGGGCCAAAGAGAGAAATTGGGGGGGGGGGGGGGGGGGGCCACAGAACTGTAGGGGGAAGTGTCAGGGTGCTGATAGCCAGCCCGTGTGTGGTTTCATCAACCCTTTGAGACACAGAGTCATTCCAGTTTGCAGACATGAAAACCAGGGCTTGGAGTCTCGCCTCCAATTTTTATTTTCTTGGATCCAGCCTCCACACAGGAACTCAGGGCTCTGCGAACCCACCTGCTCTAGCCTCTTCTCCTCAACTTCCCCTAAGTAACCCCCACCCTACCTCCTACCTCACCATTCTTCAACACTCAGCAAAGAGACTCTTCTACCCCAGGGCCTTTGTCCATGCTGTGCCCTCTACCTGGCACCAGTGGTTCTCCTCCCCCAGCCCCTCCTTTTTCACCTCCTCCCCTCTGCCACTTGCTGATCAAGCCCTTGCTCTCTCCAGGACAAGCACTGACCCCGAAGGCCACCATGGAGCAACCCCGTCCACACCAGAGCCACTCTTTTCTGCCCCAGCGGCGCCCCCTCCAGGCAGCGGCCAGGACTGTTACTTTGGAGACAAGAACAGTATTTGTAACAATAATGTACCTACCGTCTGGACAATCCCCACCCTCAACCCCCTGCCGGACCAGGAGGCTTCCTCAAGCACGAACTTCCACAGAGAGCGGTACAGCCCTGACCCGGCCCCGGAGCCCGCAGCCCCGACGTCTGCCCAGGACACCCAGCAGCTTCTGGAATTCGTGTGGGAGGCTGAGGCTCTCCGACCAGCCCCTCTCCCCACAACCAGCTGCTGGGGACCATTTTGGCACCCTGAGCACATCCCCACCCTCCCTTTTTCTCTTCCTTCTCCAGGGTCCCCCTCGGGTTCCAGAGAGCCATTGTCCCAGGAGAGGGTCCGAGGGGGCCCGGGTCTCCTTGCAGGCACCAAGGAGCGAAACCCGGGCCTCAGGAGCCACTATGATCCCCTTTTCTGCAGCCACTTCCAGGCAAGGCAGTGCCCAGGGCGGCTCGTCCCCACATCGTGAGCCTCCTTCACGCACTGGGACAAGCTCCCCTTGGCTGTCTGCCCAGCGAGCCCCAGGTTCAAGGTGTTGGGGTGCAAGGTCCTTTTCCCCCAACACCAACACACACACACAGCTCCAAGCTGCTGGCCAGAGGCTGGCCGCCAAGGCCAGGAGCACAGTATTAGGAGAGCGGGAGCCCCGGTCCTCACCCCCACATCGGCCCGGCTTGGAGCTGGGGCGGGCTGGCTGCAGGGGCATTCAGACCAGTGGTCCAGGCATCTTTTTTTTTTTTTTCTTTTTTCTTTTTTTTAATATATTTTATTAATTTTTCACAGAGAGGAAGAGAGAGGGATAGTTAGAAACATCGATGAGAGAGAGCCATCAACCAGCTGCCTCCTGCACACATCCCACTGGGGATGTGCCCGCAACCAAGGTACATGCCCTTGACTGGAATCAAACCTGGGACCTTTCAGTCGTTTATTCAGACGTTTTATTCCCTGAGCCAAACCGGTTTCGGCGGGCCAGGCATCTTTTAACCGGTCTGTGATTCGGTGTCCCCGGGGCTGACTAGCTGTCCCAGAACTGGGCCTCCCACCCGCAGGGGCACGTGTGCGCACCCTGACGTACACGCCCACTGACCCTTGGCTCACGCACACTCACGGGGGTGACACACGGCCATGCAGGTGGGGTGTTTGCATCAGCCATGCTCGGGCCACACAGGTGCCCACACTTGGGCTCCAGGACTGAGCCCCAGGCCACACACACCACAGACATTCCTGCAACCTGGCGGTGCACGCACACACCCGGGCACACATTGGGTGTGTGTGTGTGTGTGTGTGTGTGTGTGTGTGTGCCAGGCACAGGATCAGAATGCACAGGCACCATCAGTCCCTTTCGATCTTACCAGGCACCGGCCCGGAGCCTCTTAAGCCTTGTCTCCAGATAAAGAACCTAAGGGATGTAGTTGGCAAGAAAAAGCTGAGCACGTCTCCCCCTGGAGCCCCGCTGAGTGTCTGGGCCTGTGTGCGCAGGAGCAGCCAGCTGTGGTCCGGCAGTGCCCGCCTCTAGAGCTGGGGGGCCCGCAGGCCATGGCCCTGTGCCGCAGCACACAGTGGCGTTCCCAAGATGCACCAGGACGGACGTGCAGCCTGCAGGTGCTCCGAGGCGCAGGCGGGTGGTGCTCACGGCCTCGCCGTCAGCCTCGCCATCGTGGGGGCAGCCAGTGTGTCCACCAGCCCCCTCGCCCTCCCCGTCGGCTTTTGGTAGCTCTCGCATGCTGTTCTATTAACAACAGTCTAGGAGCGATGCTCTAGCGGCCTAACCCAGCGTTAACACTGCTCTTCCCAGCGAATCCAGGCAGCGGCCTCCCCAAGGAGGCGCTGATTAGTCTACTCACAGCCAGAGGCCCGCGCCGGAGGGCTGAGCCCGGGGTGGGTCTGCAGGCGGCAGGCGTCCAAGAAGTCTTTCCGGCCGAGCATCTCCGCCTGACCCTGTGGACTCAGCCATGCCCCTGCCACGTCCTCCCCTCACCCGCCTCTCCCTCTCCCCAAAGTGGAATTGTTGAAGTGTGGCAAGTCCGTGCTCGAGACAATAAAGCTTGTGACTGAGGTCCAGGACCTGTGCTGCTGTCTGCTTCTCTGTCGGTGCCCTGGGCCCCCAGCCTCTCCCAGCTGGCGGGCACGCCGGTGCCAGGAGTTGGTCTCGGCCCTGAACCTGGTGGGCTGCCTGCCGCTTGGTCTCGGGTGTGGATGGCTGGTGAGGATCTCACAGGCCTGGCGTTGAAAGCATCGGGGCTGAGCTGCCTTGTTTGGGTTTGACTCTGGGCCTGGGAGGGATCTGGTTTGCAGCAGTTCTCTGGGAGGCAGAGGTCTGAACTTGAGTCTGTTGGAGTTATGAGTGGGCCTGCAGGAAAAGGAGAATCTCCCGATATACGAAATAGGGATGGATCAGCCAGCACCAGCTTGCTGGGTCAGGTGAGGACACTTTCCAGCTCAGAGCTCGTTCTGTCCCACAGCAAGCTGTCTGTAGGTCACACGAGCAGCCCACGTCTGCAGCCCTGTGGTCCGCTCACAGGCTTTGCCCTTGAGGTGGCCTCCCTGGGAGACAGCAGGCCCTCGAGGCTGCCCGCTGAGGGTCCAGGAGCACCGTCCGTTTCTCAGGAGCTGCATCGGCAGGGTCCCTCCAGGGGGAACAGGACCTGAAGGGAGGGGCCGTGTGTGCAGGTGTGAACAGGACTAAGGAAACCCACAGAGGACTCTGGGGGGCCATTCCTACCCAAAGGGCAAAGCAGAGGGGCTGTGGCTGGAATGGGGCCAACGTTGCCGCTGTGGGGGGACCCCAGCAGTGGGGTGGCCCAAGGGGCTGGCCTCCTCTGCCCTCCTGATGCCTCTCCAGTTAGTTAAACACGAAGCCAAGGCCAGGGGCTGTGGGGGCCGGGCTGGGGGCGGATGGGCGAGAGGCCAGCCCTGGGCACAGCCGGGAGGGAGGGAGTGCAGAGCGGGGGAGGCATGGAGTGTGGTCAACACAGTGTCCATCACAAGACAGATTCAAACAGAGCCCCATTCTCTGGGCTTCTGCTGCCTTGAATATGAATGGTCTCTGTCCTTCCAGAACTTTCTTACCAGCCCAGCATTTGCAATTCAAAGAGCTGCTGCTGCGGAAAAGGTTCTCTCCTCTTCAGACCAAACACCGCTGTGGCCTGTGGTTTCTGGCACCCGCGTCAGCTGTCAGGCAGCACCCAGTCACTTGAGGTGATGACGCCAAATATGTCCCCCCCTCTCCCCTCCCCGCCCCCTCCCACCCCCTCCGCCCCCGGACCGCTTGCTGCAAGAGAGAAGAGAATGAGCTCCAGCCTGTGGGGACGCCGGGCCAGAGGCTGCGGTCAGAGACCAGCGAGGCCCCTGCCCACGTGTGGCTCCGGGCCAGCAGGCTAACTCTGCGTCAGCCTCTGTGAAAGGGCGCTGGGCGGGGGAGGACGGGAGAAGGGGAGGAGACAGGACTGCCAAAGGGAGAGTGGCTGCCTCTCAGGCGGGCAGGACCTCCCTGCTGTCACCGAGGCTGAGGGGCCAGAACTGGAGGCCAGGTGGCCATGGGCTTGGCTCTCAGGGAAGGAGCTTCCTGAGCTGTCTCCCAGGGAGCTCATCCAGGAGGCGCTGGGTGAAGGACAGCACCAGGAAGGAGGGGAGGCCTCAGGGGCGGGGCGCAGGGTGGCCTTGACAGCCCACCACCCAGAGCAGCCTTCAGCGGCTCCGGCCGGGAAGCCCAGGCTTGCGGTGTGGGCCGCTTCAGGGAGGTGTGCACAAAACCAAGGGTCTGGAGGGCAGCCGCCACCTTTCAGAGCGGTAACGGGGGGCGGGGGGCGCGCGTCTTTCCCAGGATCAGCCTGGAAAGAGCTGGCACTGGACACCTCGGGTCCAACCAGCCCGCCAGGCCCCGGCTGTGCGGCCAGGCCCGCTGCTCCCATAGCCTGTGGGATGGAAAACACAGACCCATCTCAGGCAGCTGGGGTCCAAAGGATGGGCGCGATGGACTGACCGCACGTGGGTCGGTGTCCCAGAGAAGCCCTTAGACCAGCGGTCGGCAAACTCATTCGTCAACAGAGCCGAATATCAACAGGACAACGATTGAAATTTCTTTGGAGAGCCAAATTTTTTAAACTTAAACTTCTTTTTTTAAAAAATATATTTTATTAATTTTTCTTACAGAGAGGAAGGGAGAGGGATAGAGAACTAGAAACGTCGATGAGAGAGAAACATCGACCAGCTGCCTCCTGCACACCCCCTACCGGGGATGTGCCCGCAACCAATGTACATGCCCTTGACCGGAATCGAACCTGGGACCCTTCAGTCCACAGACCGATGCTCTACCGCTGAGCCAAACCGGTTTCGGCTAAACTTAAACTTCTTCTAACGCCGCTTCTGCAAAATAGATTCGCCCAGGCCGTGGTGTTTTGTGGAAGAGCCACGCTCAAGGGGCCAAAGAGCCGCATGTGGCTCCCGAGCCGTAGTTTGCCGACCACGGCCTTAGACTAATGGCTCAGCCCAGTCTCCCAGCCTACTGGGGAAGTTGCCTGTTCTCCATCCGGGGTCCCCACCCCAGCGTGGTCGGCCCCACGACAGTCTGCTGGGGGGTCAGCAGATGGCTCACACAGCGTGGAAGGAGCGCGGGCGCTGGATGCAGCCCCTCCCCCCTGCGCAGGCTCCCCTGCGCTGACAGCTCAGGAGCGCCCACTGGTCAGGGCTCGCCTCATGCTGGGATGGGGCTCGGAGCCAGCCACTCTGACAGGTGTCCCCACACCAACCCTGCACTGACTTTTCTCACTTTTAAATTTTCAGATAACTTCTGACTTAAAAGAATTGCAAAAACAGCCAAAACCGGTTTGGCTCAGTGGATAGAGCAAGGATTCCGGTCAAGGGCATGTACCTTGGTTGGGGGCACATCCCCAGTAGGGGGTATGCAAGAGGCAGCTGATAAATGATTCTCTCTCATCGGTGTTTCTAACTCTCTATCCCTCTCTCTTCCTCTCTGTAAAAAAAAAAATCAATAAAAATATATTTTTAAAATATATATTTTTAAAATTGCAAAAATAGTATAATTCCTGTGTACTCTTCACCACCTTCCCCTCCCGTTCCTCTCTTGCACAACCACAGGTGAGTGACCCCAGCTAGAAAACTGGCATGGATAGGGTACACCTGGAGAACACACAGGCTTTGGATTTCATCAGTGATTCCCCAGATGTCCCTTTGCTGTCCCAGATCCCAGCGAGGGTCCCTCGGGGCACACACGCACCCGTCTCCTCCCTCTCCAATCTCCTCCATCTCCAATCGGGAACAGCTTCCGGGCCTTCCCGGTCTCTCAGCCCCTGGACGCGTCTGAAGATCACCCACAGCGATGCTGATGCAGGTCCCTCCATCCGGTCTGTCTCATGTCTTCTCATGAGTAGCCTGAGCGCAGGGAGACGTGCCCTCCGCATCCGGGTCCTCCCCAGCGATGGTCCCTACGCTGAGAGCGGTGTCCACACCAAGACGTGTATAGGCCGAAACCGGTTTGGCTCAGTGGATAGAGCGT